CCTGCGGAAGTATTGTGCGCCTCCCCATGCACGTCATTCGTCTTAGCTGAATAGTGCTTCTCCAGATACGCACATCACATATCCCAGGAGGCAGGAGGAAGAGGGGGATGGGCCTATCGGAGTGTTATTGAGAGGCCCGCCCACTGAACCCGGGAAGAGCCGCCAGGCGCTTGATGACGTCAGAGAGAACATGGTGGTGCGGGACAATGCTGGATCCACTAGATGGGTGAGTATCGGAAACGTGCAGATTCCACCTACAGGTAAGCGGGACCAAAAAATAAAAAGGTCATCCGGAAGTCCACGTTGAACCCAAAAATATATTATATTGCAGCTCACCAATCATTAGATGTGGCGGCTGCATTAGTTTTCTTTTTTTTATGCTTTTCTGATTTTACCTGGCGATCCGGCCAGAAACACACCTCCTGTATCAGAGCGCCCCCCACTGTGAGTGAAGAAGCACAGGGGCTAGTGGTATCCCGAGGCAGGTGCGGGGGGTGCGCGCCGCACCGGGTGACACCTACCGCACGGGGTGACACCGGACCCGCTCCACGGAAAGGTAAGTTGTAAAGCAAGCCGACGATCCCCGCAGGATGGATCCGATCCATTATGCTCAATCCGCAGATCGATCCATTCTGTGGGGATCGGCGACTTTCTTTGCAACTTACCTTTTGGTGGAGCGGGTCCGGTGTCACTCCGTATAGGTTGCATCCCGACCATCCCTGCAGGATGGATGGGATCTGCGGATTGGGGAGGATAATAGATCGGAGTCCAATCCATTGTGCTCAAATCCGTAGATCCGATCCATCCTGCGGGGATCATCGGAGGGGATGTCACCAACTGTTATTGCCCCGGGTGACACCAACCTAGGGACGCCTCTGACAGGGGGTACAGCAGGCAGCAGCACTGCCAGTCTGGGTGGAGGGGAGTGTTAGATGCACTATCAGATTTAGATACACTAACAAATTGAAGCCAAACCCTGGCTAATACATTATAATCCGTTACAGTAACGTTTATTGGATAAAGATTTTATATACATAAAAGCTGATCATTGTAAGCACCCCTGCCAGTGGTAAATGGTTTGCCTCATCCCTGTAAACTGATCAATTTGATTAAGAGCTTGTGGTTTTGAAAAACAACAGACTTACTCGCCAGATCAACAGAGGAAAGTAAAGGAAACTGAAGCTTTATTGGTTGCGCTGGCTCGGTGTCAGTGCTGACTGGTCCTCAGAGTGTTGCTTGCTCTCTGGCTTGAGTGTTGCTCGTAATTCCTGTTACTGGGCCGGCTTCCTCCTGACCTGATTTGGATCCTGCTCTGCACTTCTGTTCTGCCCGTTCCTGACCTCGGCTTCATCCCTGACCTCGATTTGGGAACCTGCCTGCCTGCCAGTTGCTGACCCAGCTAGACCTGGGACTTGACTTCATCTCCATGTCCTTGTCTCTGCTTTCCTTACCTGCACACGGCTGTTCTATGTATAGTCCTGCTACACGCATCGTCCGTGGTCCAGGGGCGGACTGACCATTTGGAAACTTGGGTACTGCCTGAGGGCTCGGGGGTCAGTAGGGGGCCCCATGAGATGCCCCTGGTACCTTTTTCATAGGCTTTTTTGAGTTTGGGCAAGGACACAGGGGCCCCATGATCCCCTATTGCCCGGGGGCCCCATGAGTTGTCAGTCCGCCCCTGCTGTGGTCTCTGCCTTGCCTTTCGGACCAGCCAGAGTTTCCTTCTCACTCCTGCTGACTCCTCACCTGACACTCCTGCTTGCACGTGTAGGCTGGTGCAGTCTGCTGTCTCCACTGCAGGTGGCGCTCAGTTGCAGAGGGAGAGGAGGCCATGAGGAACATGGTTCTTCTTCTGTGGTCTCCTGAGTCACTGGGGCAGCGATCTGATTGGATGCCTGAAACCCATGTGACTCTGGTGGCCATCTTAGGTGTGGCAGAGTCTATTTAAAGTGGAGCTCCACACAAATGGGGAAGTTCTGCTTTAAGCCTTTGTCTAAGGATTGGCACCTTTGGGGAGCGGGGGGGGATCCCAAATTTAACAGGTACCCACTTCCGCTGTGATCGCCTAAGCCAGGGGTAGGCAACCTGAGAGCCGCAGGACTACAAGTTCCATCATGCCTCTGCAAGTCATAGCTGTAACTGCAGTTTTGTAATCTTTGCAATGCCTCATGGGAAATGTAGTTTCACAACAGCTAGAGAGCCTCACGTTGCCTACCCCTGCCTTAGGCGATCGGAAGGTAAAGTTGTCCTCCCCCCCTCCCTCCCCGTAGTCTTCTGGGACACATGACAGGTCCCAGAAGACTACGGGACCATTCACAAAGCTTGACGCTTCTCGCACATGCTCAGTGGGCACCCAGCTGTGAAGCCGCAAGCTGGTACAGCTGGGTGCCCACACTAAAGATGCCGGCACCAGGGAGAGAAGACGGCTGGTGAAACCAGCCGTGGTGAGGACACCGCCGGACCTAGGGACAGGTAAAGTGAGCAGTGGTGAGGACACCACCGGACCGAGGGACAGGTAAGTGAGCAGTGGTGAGGACACCGCCGGACCCAGGGACAGGTAAGTGAGCGGTGGTGAGGACACCGCCGGACCCAGGGACAGGTAAGTGAGCAGTGGTGAGGACACCGCCGGACCCAGGGACAGGTAAGTGAGCGGTGGTGAGGACACCGCTGAACCGAGGGACAGGTAAGTGAGCAGTGGTGAGGACACCGCCGGACCCAGGGACAAGTGAGCGGTGGTGAGGACACCGCCGGACCCAGGGACAGGTAAGTGAGCGGTGGTGAGGACACCGCCGGACCCAGGGACAGGTAAGTGAGCGGTGGTGAGGACACCGCGGACCCAGGGACAGGTAAGTGAGCGGTGGTGAGGACACCGCCGGACCCAGGGACAGGTAAGTGAGCGGTGGTGAGGACACCGCCGGACCCAGGGACAGGTAAGTGAGCGGTGGTGAGGACACCGCCGGACCCAGGGACAGGTAAGTGAGCGGTGGTGAGGACACAGCCGGACCCAGGGACAGGTAAGTGAGCGGTGGTGAGGACACCGGCCGGACCCAGGGACAGGTAAGTGAGCGGTGGTGAGGACACCGCCGGACCCAGGGACAGGTAAGTGAGCGGTGGTGAGGACACCGCCGGACCCAGGGACAGGTAAGTGAGCGGTGGTGAGGACACCGCCGGACCCAGGGACAGGTAAGTGAGCAGTGGTGAGGACACCGCCGGACCCAGGGACAGGTAAGTGGCTGTATTATAAAAGTCAGCAGCTACAGTCTATGTACAGTTTTTGTAGTTTTTGTAGCTGTTGACTTTTATTTTTTTCAGGTGGAACTCCGCTGTAAGAGTCTGGCTCCTGGGATTGGTGCACATTCTTGCGCGAGTGGACAGTTTAGGAACAGATCCCCCCGTCTGACAGGGAAAGTATCTAGTGCTAGGGAGATGATCAGGGAAAGGCTAGAGATTTGCCATCTTTCTGCAAAAGCCTCCCTTTTGGGTCCAGACCGGCCAAGCCACTTTCCATCCTCTGAGACAGACGCTGTCGGTTCATCTGAAGCCACTATGAGTGTTTTTCTAGTTCAGTTGAGTCTTTCTCTTCGATAGAAATTCTCCTTTCTCAAACCGGACTCTGCGTCATCACTTCTTGCACCACACTGCACCCACCCACACGCGTTCTGCTGAATCTTCCTAGTTTGAGGTTCTGCAAGCTGCATCCTCCGGTCCCTTTGCACATTCTACCTCATCTTCAGGGGTGTTTGGGCAGGAGAAAAACACAAGTTATTCCCTTTAAAGTCATTGCCTTCCTCTGGATCAGCTGTGGGTATAGGATTGTTTGATGGAGACCTGAGGTCCCCTGGGGCATGAAGTCTAAGCCTCAGACAGTTTTTATGAGACCTCCTGATGGTGGGGATGGTTTTTGCTGCTTCCTGGTACCAGGTCTAAACCTGCAGGCTCAGGATGAAGAGAGGAAGACACTCAAGCAGAAGCGGAGTAGGAGTATTGTCGTAGCCAAAGTGAGAGCTCTGAGGTTGGTACATGGTTGGAAATAAGTCCAGTGAAGAAATGGGCGGGGAGGTAGGTGCCGGGGGGTGTCAGAGGATGCATGGAAGCAGACACATAGGAGACACAAGGATCGCAGTGGAGAGGAGGGTTATAGAAGGTCAGGAGCTAGGAACACAAACTAGGAACTGGAACGAGGACCTCTTCAGACTCTCAGGTTCTTATTGCTGTTGGTGATCCTGTTGGCCTTCCCCTCACTTTCATTCAATATCAGGGCAAGAAATGAGGGGTCCAGGGGGCCACAGAACAGCAAGACTGAAACAACTAATAAAACCCAACAGAGAACCTGACCCTTCAGTCTACTAAACCCTTTCAGTCCTTTCCTTCTCCTAGCTCCGTGAGCTTTCACATCCAGGGTGAGCCATTGAGTCCCTTATATACATATATTTGATTCAATACTTTGTATTAGATATATTAAAGTTGTTTGGTAATTATATAATTTTCCTTTGATATACCTCTAGACTGCCTCGGCTGGTAGAAATCTCTAAAAAAAAAATCTTCCCTGAAGAAGCCCGTGAGGGGCGAAACATGTAGGGAGTAACTACATAACCATCATATCACAACTCGACTACTGCAACTCCCTCCTCCTCACTGGCCTGCCTCGCCGCTGGCTATCCCCGCTTCAGTCCATCCTGAATACGGCTGCCAGACTCATTCACCTTTCCAACCGCTCCATCTCCATCACCCCCCCTCTGCCAATCCCTCCACTGGCCTCCACTCACTGTCCTCCACCCCCCTCTGCCATCCCTCCACTGGCCTCCACTCAGTGTCCGCCACCCCCCTCTGCCAATCCCTCCACTGACCTCCACTCAGTGTCCTCCACCCCTCTCTGCCAATCCCTCCACTGGCCTCCCACTCAGTGTCCTCCACCCCCCTCTGCCAATCCCTCACTCCACTGACCTCCACTCAGTGTCTGCCACCCCCCTCTGCCAATCCCTCCACTGACCTCCACTCAGTGTCCTCCACCCCTCTCTGCCAATCCCTCCACTGGCCTCCACTCAGTGTCCTCCACCCCCCTCTGCCCAATCCCTCCACTGACCTCCACTCAGTGTCCTCCTCCACCCCTCTCTGCCAATCCCTCCACTGGCCTCCACTCAGTGTCCGCCACCCCCCTCTGCCAATCCCTCCACTGACCTCCACTCAGTGTCCTCCACCCCTCTCTGCCAATCCCTCCACTGACCTCCACTCAGTGTCCTCCACCCCCCTCTGCAATCCCTTCACTGACCTCCATTCAGTGTCCTCCACCCCTCTCTGCCAATGGCCCTCCACTGGCCTCCATTCAGTGTCCTCCACCCCCCTCTGCCAATCCCTCCACTGGCCTCCACTCAGTGTCCTCCACCCCCCTCTGCCAATCCCTCCACTGGCTTCCGATTGCCCAACGGATCAAATTCAAAATCCTAACACTGATGTACAAAGCCGTCCACCATACTGCCCCGAAACTACATCACTGACCTAATATCCAAGTACCGCCCAGCACGCACACTCCGCTCCTCACAATACCTCCTTCTCTCTAGTTCCCTGGTCTCCTCCTCCCATGCCCACCTCCAGGACTTCTCCAGGGTGTCACCCATCCTCTGGAACTCCCTTCCCCAACCCATCAGATTATCAAACTACTCTCCTCTCCTTTAGGCGCACCCTGAAAACCCATCTCTTCAGGGAAGCCTACCCCACCCCCTGCTAACTTGCCGACCTCCTCCACTCTTCCTACCACTCCATCCCCCACAGCTATCTCCTCCTGTACCACTATCCTCTCCCTCCTAGATTGTAAGCTCCAAGGATCAGGGCCCTCAATCCCCTCATGTTTTGCATTGTATTGGTATTGTCTGTCACATGTTCTGTCCCCCTCTGTAATGTACAGCACTGAGCAAACTATTGGCGCTTTATAAATATTGTATATTAATAAAAAATAATAATAATAACCAAGTTTGAATCTCAGTTGTATTTTTAGAACTGAAATTGTTTTTATGTTTCTGTATTTTTTCCTTTCTTTGTTGTGTTTTTTACAAACAAAAATAATAAATAATAAAAATGATATTGTAAAAAATCCTCTTGCGCTAAAAATGGTGAACAACTAGTACAGCTGCCAACACTCTCCTACTAATACCTAGTGTAGTGTACAAACATAAATAAAATATATAGTGTGGCGCTCAAAATAAATAAATAAATATCAATATGTGATCAATTAATATACAAAAATAACATATAATGATTAATAAAATAAATACTCCATAAAAATAATGACAATAATACCTCAAGTGATCACACTCTAAAAAATCGAAGTGTCTCAAATAAATATATAAGTGCATCCATAAATAACTCAAGTGATCACACTCTAAAATGAATCAAGTGACTTAAATAAATCACATGCTTATAATTACCATATAGGTGATCAAAAAATTAATACCAACTTAATAAAAAGTGTAAAAGTGCCAAAAATAGTGCAAAAGAATAGTAAATGTCCGTTTCCTTCAAAAAATCAAATATAATAATGTTCTTCAAGTGATAAATCAATTCATGCAATAAACGGTGATACTCAATGGGTGATTTGTGCCAAAATCTTCTCCAAACAGTGGCTAAAATGCCTCCTCACCTCCTCCCTGCGACCCCTAAGGGCCAACAGGCTTGTAGGATCAACCTGGATCCTAGAATCAAAGAGGCCAACACCTTTTCCTTCCTTCTTTGTCTTTCCTGGTGGGCCTCCTACTTCCCTTATGCAGCCAAGGTGCCTTAAAGAACAATGGCTCACCAATCCAGTGAGCCAAAGAAGAAAACACCCTCTAAGTGTAGTATTAAAGACTCCTTTATTTCCAAAATGCAAAGTAGCAGAACTCACATATCTCAGCAGTCCTCCCTCCTCACCGATGTGTGGGTACACTGCATGTGAATTGGGACTTCCTGGTGTAGCAAGATGGCGTCGCACGCCGGAAGTGCGTCACCGCGCACCGGAGACTGCGGACTCGTAAACCTACGCGTTACGTCACTGACAACTCGTGACTTCCTCGGGGACAGTCACGAGTTGTCAGTGACGTAACGCATAGGTTTACGAGTCACCATTGACTGTCAGATTTGCCAGGCAGGCAGGAGAGATGCCGCTGCTGCAGGGGTGGGTACTCGGCTCAGGGGACACCACTGAAGTATTTCTTCTTTAATTCTTGAAAGTATGTGCATAAATTGGGGCAGGTAGGGGTCCCAGTGCATTACTTTGCCCAGGGGCCCATGTTGCTATTACCCATATGGAAAAAATAAATTTTTTAAATATATCTGAAATGCCACAATTTTGGCCGTATTCAATATATTTCAAAACATATTTCAATATAAAAAAATATATATATATTTTATTTTTATTTTAAAAATTTTTAATTTAAATATATTTTGAAATATATTGAATATGGCCAAAATCGTAGCATATATATATATACTGTATGTTAAAGTGCATTTGTATTACAAAATATATAAACAATAATTTTAAAAATACATTTCAAATATACTGTATGTCTTTAAAAATATAAATATACATTTTTGGAATGCATTTACAAATATATGTAAAAATTTTTCTTAAAAATGACTTTTTTATATGTTAAAAAAGAACATATTTAAAAATTATATAGTTAAAAAATATTTTTCATATATTTTGTAATATATAAAAAAACGCATTTCAACATGCAGTGTGTGTATATATATATATATATAATGAATACGGCCAAAATTGTAGTATTTCAAATATATGTCAATATATTTGGGAAGAATATTTTAAAAATATATTTCAAATATATTTTTCTTCCATGTGGGCGGAGCCTGAAGAGAACAATACAGCAACTACAGTTCAATACAAGAGGGTTAGGAGGGCCTGATCCTAGGAGCTTGCAATCTAAGAAGTATTTCTTCTTTAATTCTTGAAAGTATGTGCATAAGTTGAAGCAGGAAGGGGCCCAGAGCATTACTTTGCCTAGGGGCCCATGTTGCTATTACCCATATGGAAGAAAAATATATTTGAAATATATTTTAAAAATATTCTTCCCAAATATATTAACATATATTTGTAATGCTACAATTTTGGCCGCATTCAATATATTTCAAAATATATTTCAATTAAAAAAATAGAAATAAAAAAAATATATATTTTATTTTTAATTTTTTTTAATTTAAATATATTGAATATGGCCAAAATCGTAGCATATTTATATACTGTATGTTGAAATGCATTTTTATTACAAAATATATAAACAATAATTTTAAAAATACATTTCAAATATACTGTATGTCTTTAAAAATACAAATCTACATTTTTGGAACGCATTTACAAATATATGTAAAAATTAATGTTACAATGACTTTTTTATATGTTAAAAAATAATCAGAAAAATATATTTAAAAATATATAGTTAAAAAAATATTTTTCATATATTTTGTAATATATAAACGCATTTCAACATGCAGTGTGTGTGTGTGTATATATATATATATATATATATATATATATATGTGTGTGTGTATATGTATGTGTATATATATATATATCTCCTAGATTGTAAGCTCCAAGGAGCAGGGCCCTTGATCCCCTCATGTTTTGCATTGTATTGGTATTGTTCTGTCCCCCTTTGTAATGTACAGCGCTGAGCGAACTATCGGCGAATTATAAATACTGTATAATAATAATATTAATATATATATATAATGAATATTGCCAAAATTGTAGTATTTCAAATATATTTTTCTTCCATGTGGGCGGAGCCTAAAGGGAGACAGTACGAACAGTACGAGCAACTACAGTTCAATACAAGAGGGTTAGGAGGGCCCTGATCCTAGGAGCTTGCAATCTAAGAAGTATTTCTTCTTTAATTCTTGAAAGTATGTGCATAAGTTGGGGCAGGTAGGGGCCCCAGTGCATTACTTTGCCCAGGGGCCCATGTTGCAATTACCCACATGGAAGAAAAATATATTTGAAATATATTTTAAAAATATTCTTCCCAAATATAGTGACATATATTTGAAATGCTACAATTTTGGCCGTATTCAATATATTTAAAAATATATTTCAATAAAAAAAAAGAAATAAAAAAAATATATATTTTATTTTATTTTTATTTTTAATTTTTTTAATTTAAATATATTTTGAAATATATTGAATATGGCCAAAATTGTAACATATATATATACTGTATGTTGAAATGCATTTTTATTACAAAATATATAAACAATAATTTTAAAAATACATTTCAAATATACTGTATGTCTTTAAAAATACAAATCTACACTTTTTGGAACGCATTTACAAATATATGTAAAAATTTATGTTACAATGACTTTTTTATATGTGAAAAAAATCAGAAAAATATATTTAAAAAATATATAGTTAAAAAAATATTTTTCATATATTTTGTAATATATAAAAAACGCATTTCAACATGCAGTGTGTGTATATATATATATTTGTATATGTGTGTGTGTATATATGTATATATATATATATATATATATATATATATAATGAATATGGCCAAAATTGTAGTATTTCAAATATATTTTTCTTCCATGTGGGCGGAGCCTAAAGGGAGACAATACAGCAACGATACAGTTCAATACAAGAGGGTTAGGAGGACCCTGATCCTTGGAGCTTGCAATCTAAGAAGTATTTCTTCTTTAATTCTTGAAAGTATGTACATAAGTTGGGGCAGGTAGGGGCCCCAGTGCATTACTTTGCCTAGGGGCCCATGTTGCTAGAAGGCCCTGGTACCCATACCAGGCATTTATACAGCCAGAAGGGCCAATACATCATATAACTGCTGGAGTCAACATGAGGTTACTGAAACATGCAAACAATAACATCTGCAATGGACGCGAGAACATCGACACGAAGCAATTTGTATGTTTTTATAGATTTGGCCAACGATACGGAAACCACTACAACAACGAGGATGTCATGGAACCTAAATATGTGAAGAAATGTTCAGAATTCCGACCCCGGTTATGAATTTCATTCCATTCGGTCCCATTGTAACCTTCTCACATTGGATGAACTTTACTAACGGTAGAGAAATTGTTCAGCCGAAAAGCAGCCGCTTGTGCCTTGACTCCGGGGCCACACGTGACCCTCTTGATTCTCCCAGAAGGCCTCTGAGAAAAATGTACAAGTGATATTTTCAATATCTTTAAATACACAAAGGGAATGAGGAGACAACATGAGGTTTAGCACTGACTGACGCTTGTACTATCGTAGCACCCACCTAGAATAGGTTTCTACAGAGACTCGGGGACATTTAGTCCTTTTTTTTTTTTTCCCTTTGTAAAAATTGGAGTGGTATGTGATTATATTGGGCTGTTTTGGGTCTCGCTGGCTGCAGGCTCAACTACTTCCCCCTACCTTCTAGTGGGTTCTAG